AGCTGGTGGAGCAAGCCGGAGCAAGCAGGTCCCGGTCAGCCTGCAACCGCTTGGCCCCACTTGGCCCCGCTGGCTCCATTGATTTCCAAGGATGGGATTAAGGCCTGGAAATTAGTATAGCTATTCAAAACTGTGCAGTTTTGACCCAGTTTTGAGGTTCTCACTTGGAAGCCAGTCACTTCCTGTTTTCGAGCACTTTGTTAATTCTACTGTCAACTACCTTTCACATCGGGTCACTATATACCTACTGCAGTCACCCCAGGATTTTATTTTTCTTCACTAGAGGAGAAAGACAAACCTACCAAGATAATTGTATATTTTAAAATGGGCTTGACATTTATTTGACCTAAATTAAAGCTAACAATGTTTTGTTTCTCTTATAGTTTGCATTTTCTTGTGTTGAGCATGTACTTAGGGGAATATCATTCTCCCAAGTACAACAATCACTGTCAGACAATGGCAAACAGCTGTGTAACCATTCCAGAAGCTGCTTCCCAGAAAAAGAAGCCCACTGGGGAAGGATGTGGCTGTCACAACCTGGGAAAACCAAAAGGAAGACTATGACGAAGGAGGGAATCAGCTGTTGGACTGAAGAAGGATTTACACACCAAAGAAATGCCAAGCACTGAAGGCAGTTGTTTTGCCACATAGTCCTGAAGCCTGTCTTCCATTTTCTGTTGGCCCAGCAATTTGCTCAGCTCCTGCTATTTTGGGAAGGAATTTATCCAGAACTGGCATATCTTAATCTCCCAATGTTTCCTCTCCTTGACTGGTTAACAGGTGTTGGAAAAGCCTGTGGCAGAAATATCACAGACTAGTGTGCTCATTTTCATTTTACACCTGCCTCCATGGTTTGGTTTGAATGTAGTGTTTCTAAAATTAGGAGACATCTTATTTGTTTCTGCAGAATAAAGGAGCAAATAAAGTGTCATTGACATACTAATTTTTTAATAGGTACACATATGTATTTATTAAGACTATAGGTTTATTTCTGTTTTAAAAATTTAATATTAAACCTCTGATTTCTCAATTAGAACTTAAGCAAAGTTAGTAGAGAATAAACTCTCTTTTAAATGAAAAGTGGTTTCATTGTAATTATAAGCAAGCATGCCACTCTCTTGGTTCTTTTTTTTTTTTAAGACTTTCAAACCTAGTACTCAGTATTGTTTTGAAAATCACTGATTTCATCAAATTAGAAGCAGATAATTTGCTATTGTAGACTGTGTTAAAATATCTGTTCAGTGCCTATTTCAGTGGCCTGTTTGCTACAGTTTGCCTTTATCCCTGAAGGGACACAACTGCAGTGTCCTGCCACCTTGGTGAAATTCCTGAAAATTATTTGGTCAACTGAGGGCTACTCCATCTCAGACACTGTGAAGACATAGCTGTCTGCACTCACAATGTGAATATGAAGCAAAGAGATAGGGGAAGTTAGGTCACAGGCCCTGAATAGTTAACAAAGTAAACTAAAAGTTTGGGCTTAAGTGAGTTAACATACCAGAAGGCAAGAATAGGAATACTTAATTTAAGCAAACTAATTATCAGGCTCTAATGGAATGCAAGGGACAAAGAACAGGTCCCTAAATAAATAAAAGACCTTGGACAAAGTAAAATGCAAATGAAACAGCTTACATTCCTCACATCAGCGCTATCTGCAACCAGGAAGATCCCTGCTTTATTTCTCATTAACTGGTCCACAAAGCTGAATGAAAGTCCAGTGGATTTATACACCTATGGTGTCTGCCTTATGGAATCCTCCCCAGTTAGCAGGGAGCTTTGCCTACTATTCTTTCTTATAAACACCCATTTGTTCCTTCCCCACCTCTTGCTGTGCGCTGTTTTGTGGACTTTTGTGTTGTCCCCAAAACAAGAATCCAATAGTTGGAGGAACAGGTTACAAATACAAGTCCAATGTCTCTTAGTCCCTTGGGTTCTGGAGGCAACATATTCCATATTTACAGGTATTACTTTATTTTGCTGGTGCTGTTTCTTGCAAATCATCTTATACAAGTGGGGGGTTTCTCTAACAACTTGCAATGAAATCTGTCCAAATTGAAATCAGCAGGGACTCAAGTTATTGCTTAGATACTCCAGTACCCCATGGGCTTTTACAACCTCCTATCATCCTTACAAAATATCTAGAACTTGCCTGCAAACTTCTGACACAAAATGTTGTCCCTCCTTTACCCTGTGCTGTATGTCCTTGAGCAGCACATACTGGGTTCTGGACACAGGGTTTCTAGCAGCTCTGAACCTGTGAACTTCTGGACCCACTTGTTCATTTTGTTTATGAACAATCAATTTGATGGAACCCAAACTAGGTCCAGGCATTATAGACAGCTGAGTTAGGCAGAAATATTATAGGCTGTCAGATAGGGCTAAGTCCTCCAGAGAGTCAGGACAAAGGTGAAACACATCACAACTACAGCCGGAGACACATCTGTTGGAGGCTGGGACTCAAGAAAAAGACAAGATGACTAAATCTGCATACTTCCTCAAAGGACAAACACTGGGCCTAATGAAGTTTAGATAGACACCAGTCACCTCAGTGGGTGACCAAATAACTCTGGACCCACCATTTCCTAGGAGAAGTCCTTGTTCTTTCCATCCTCACTTGTTATGTGACTTTTCTCCCAATTTGACCACTATTACCTAAGTAACTAAGGTTACTTGTAACCTTGTTGGTTGATTATGGCTATGGCCCATGTTATACTCACATGGGTTTTGCTCTATAAAACTCCTCTGTAAAGTGAGGTCCATGGGTTACCCATTTGGGACCCTTCCTGCCCCTCAGGAGCTGTTCTATCAATAAATATCTTCCTACTTTTAACCCATGTTGTTCCCAGAATTCATTCTTCGATTTTTAGAGAACAGAGCTCGGCATATTAGACATCTAATGGGTTGGGGAATATATTTCACATTTCATCTCTGGTATTATTTCTTGTATCACAGGTACCAAGCAGAAAAAGTGAATTGATCCAGGTTATCAAATTGAAGGCAAGTGTAGAAGAAAGGGAGGAGGCTTGAGCAAATGAACACATTAATCAGAGGGAAGGTGAAGTGTTAGCTCAGGGAGTTCATGTGAACATGGCAAATATAGGAATAAGATGTGAAAGGGTAAAGGGCAAAGGGAGAAGTCAGAAAGGCAGGGTGTGACCATCAAGCTCCTGGACAAAATCCAGGGCATGGTTGGTCATGAGAATAGGTGGCTGAAGTAGAAAAGAAAAACTAGTTTCGAGCTTCTGTGTGTTGTTTACATACTTTGGGGTGTTCTATGGCCTGGCTGTGTCCCCTAGGTCCATGTGTTTGTTGGGAGCTGACATAGTAGGGAGGTGTTAGGTCATTGGGCTCTGTCTGCATGAATAGATAGATTCATGACCTGAAGAGCTGGAGGCAGTGAGTTAGATCTTTTGCCTTCTCTCTGCTTCTGTTTCTCTGATGACTCCACTGTGGAATGACACAGAACGAAGATCCTTTTGCTGGATTCTGGCACCACGAGACTAGACTTCTCAGACTCCAAAGCAATGAGACAAATTTTTAAAATAAATTACTGTGGTATTCTGTTATAATAAGATAAGATGAAAAACCGAGGAGGATACGTCAAGGTTTATTGCACACTTACCTGATAAATGTGAAGTCTTTAAAAGTCAAAACAGTAATAGAATACTATGTGTACTAAAAAACAACAATTTAAGTGAAAAGAAAAGCAAAGAAAATCATGTTTCCATTCCCTGAAAGGCTTTCAGATGTAGACTTGGAAGCCTGTTTCAGAGATTATATAGTATAGGAAATTGCAGTTTACCTGTGCGTGAGACCAATTTTTGAAACTTGGTGTCATTTAGTAGCTGCATTGTCCCTTTGGTTCTTACTGAATCTCATCCATAAAGTGACAAAAATGATAGTAATAGCTCGTGAAACTGTTGTGAGAATCAACATGGTAATAAATGGAATGACGTTTGCATATTGTTTAGCACACTGTGATCTCCCGAATTAATGCTACCTCTTGTTATAGAGCAACTTGTTATCTTCACTATCAAATGTGTCATTAGTTTCCTACTATGTATAATAGCTTTCAATCATGTGTTCATATTTTTATGACTGCTGTAACAAATGATCTCAAACTAGTGACTTTTACAACACAAACTTATGCTTACAGCTCTTTTCTTTTTTTTTTTTTTTTGGTACCAGAGATAGAACTTGGGACCTTACACTTGCGAGGTAGGCGGCAGAACCATTGAGCTAAATCCCCAGCCTTTCAGCTTAATTTTTAAAAGTTTTTTCTTGGCCTATGAAAATTCCAAAGAGTTTACACAGATCAGTGATCATCAGCTTCTCATAAAACAAACTCCTGTGCTCACGCAAGAAAGTCTCCCATAGTGTCTCGTGTTGCTTACGGTTGGAAACAGCAAGACCTCCTCACCTGTCACAGTGGGAGTTCAAATTTCAGTGTTATAGTTCAGCTATTTCTGACTTCTTTGATTGTCTTGTTCAGATTGTAGGGAAAAAGGAAAGGAAGAAACAGAGGTACGAGCTCACCAGGGCAGGTTTATTTCAGAACCATCCTGAGAGGGACTGCTCTGGCGCTGGAGAACACACCAGCTGCTCTCTCACAGCCTCTGGGGGCTTTCAGGTCCCAGGGAGGGGCGGGTTCAGTGAAGTCTGGCCTTCTGGCAAGAACAAGCCATGAGCAGCCACAAGCGGCAATGGCTGCTCAAGGACCAACCAGGCTAGGGAAAGCGAGCGGGGCGGGGTGGGGGTGGGGTGGGGTGGGGTGGGGGGCTGCTATCAACAGCAGAGCCGATATTGTTAGAGGCTTCGGGGGCAGCTGGGTCCAAGGGGGCGAGTTAGAGGCCTCTCTGATCAGGATGGCCACTGTCAGATTCCTTCACAGATGTCCCCAGATGTCCCTGCCTCAGTTCTCTCTAGGTTATTTTAACTACTGGACTTATTATTGCCTCTACTTTTTCTATCTTAAAATTTTAACTATGAGACTTATTGCCTCTGCTTTTTCTGTCTTAAAATTCTGATTGAAGAGAAAGGCTCTAAAAGTCGCTTTGCCCAAACCCTCCGCGTCCCATGCACCACGAAAGGAAACCGAAACTTAATGTTTCCTGGAGGAGAAAGGAAACCGAAACATTGCCTGGGTATAAAAGACTGGCTGGAATGCCCAGATGCGCCCGGCCCGCCTGCCCCGGGGCTCCATTGACGCGGGAGCTCGCGCCGCTCCGGGCTCCTCCACCTTTCCTGGGTCGGACGCGCGGCTCAGCGGCGCTCTGGACCCAGCAGGTTCGGATCTGGGTCCGGGGGAGGAGAGGGCGGTGCTTCAGGGCCAGCCAAGGGCTTAGGGTTGCCCAGGCGAGGGAGGGGCCGGAGCACAGCTGTACCGTGAGGGTCCGAGGTTTCCTCGCACGTCCAGATGGAAAGGACCAGGCGGGGCGCGGGACTTGCGGAGGCCGAGGCGGCTGGGTGCGAGGGCGGTGGGCAGAGGCGGGGCAGCGACGGCGGTGGTGAGCGCGGAAGCTTGGGGACAGACCAGGTTGTTCAGGCGCTGGAGGGTCCTCTGCAAAAGGACCCCGGGCTGTTGAGGAACAAGGGCCCTGAGATCCGAGCACTGCCCTTACACTCGGACGCTGACCGCAGTGAGTGCTGCTGTCGCGAAATTCAGCACAGTAGGACGCCTCCCACTTGCAGAATCCAGAGACCAGATTTTAATAAGGTCTCCAGCGGGATCCTAGGCACTCACACATTTCAGTGGCTTCAGACAAGTCTTACTCTCCTAAGAGTTACAAGAATATACTCACGCACTGGGGGCAGGTGTTAATTTTCTGTTGTGCATAACCAAAAATTATCACACATTTAGTGGCCTAAGCAATGCACATTTATTCTTTTAAAATTCTGTGGAGCAGAAGACCCTGCCCAGGCGCCCTGAGTCTTCTTGCTCAGCACCTCTCCTGGCTGCACTCAAGGTGTCTCAGGGGTGGCCCTCTCCTCCCAGCCCTGGTGCTCATTCGGGTTTTTAGAACAAGTCAGGTCCTTGCAGCCAGAGGACACAGGCTCCCTGTTCTCTTGCTACCTGTTGGCTGAGGGCGACTCTTGGCCTCTAGATCCCACTCGGGTCCCTGCCCTTGGCTGCCTCACGAGATGGCTGTGCCTCCAGAGGCCCCTGTCGCCATGACGTGTCTGACACACTGTAACCGAGTCCCAGAGAGGCTGTCCCATTCAAGTCACGAATCTGCAGTTCTCAACCAGAAGCGATGAGAAGGCCTGCACACCAAGGGCGTGGAGTGGTGGAGACCACGTTAGAATCCCCTCACTCCATGGGTCAGCTCTTCCCCTCAGAGGCATGGACACCTCCCATTGTCTTCCCTGATTTCTCTTCTTCTCACTTCCTCCTTCCGTTCACCTCTCCTTCCTTCTTCTTTTCTGATTTTTTAAAAGATTGCTTGAATCAGATTCCAAACACAATTCTGACGATACTGCGATTGCATGTTAGGCTTTCATGTTTCTCTTAATTTCTTTCACCCTCTTACCATTTATTTGTTAAAATGGGTCTGTGTGTCCTGAAGAGATTTGCCTAGTTCTTGTGGGGTCATTCAATGAATGTTGCTCTGATCTCTACAATGTTTTATAAATTAGTCATTACACCTATACTTTTGATCCAATTCAGGTTTAATTTCTTTTGATGGGTGGGCCGTGGTACATTAGCGATGCAGGTAGACACTTGCCTCTTCACATATGTTCTAGAATACAGTACTTCCATTTCTTCACAGCTATCCATGTTTCTGTCTTTATACTTAGAGCTCTGCAGGTGTGCCTAAGAGTGGCTTCCTTTTATGTAATTTTTGCTCAGTATTTGAATAAATATTTGAATCTAAGAATATGTTTTCTTTTTTTCTGGTCTGATCTTTATATTCCTGAAATATGAGATGTGACCAGAATACAAGGTGAACATTAAATTTTTTAAAAATCACAGTAAAATACATATTTTCATGACTATTCCTCAAAATGCTCTCTCTCACTTCAACACACTTAGCATGTCATTCTTGCCACTCTGGAGCAGTTCTAGAAATCCTCTTTCATGAGTGTCTTCATGGGATGTGACTTAAAAAAAAAAGAATACAGTGAATGCTGTTGCCAACTGCCCTCCAACAGAAAGGTAGGCTGGTAAAAACATTATGGTGTGTCTTCATCTACATTACTCACCAGATCTGGCACCCTGTGACTTCTGGCTCTTCCTCTAAATCAAAATGACCTTGAAAGGTAGGTGTGTCGAATTGATTCAGGTCATTGAGGCAGCCACAACAGCACAGCTACAGATATTCAGGAAGAACTTGCAGAATACACCATGTAGAGGAACCCAATAACATCAATGAATATAAACATTATATGTCCTAAAGATGAGCTAAGAATAAGCATAAGAATGAAGATGGGGAAAGGGGATTTAGAGGTGGAGGGAGAGATTTGGGTGGGAATGAAATTAAAAATGAAAAGAAACAAGATACATAGTATCAGTATCTGTCTCCAAGATGAATATAAGTTTCATGTACTGCAAACATATACTAAAATCATAAAATAAAGAGAGTGGCAAGAATGATGGGATGTGTTTGAAGCCAGATGGATCATTTTGAGGAGGATTCATGACAATGTGACTTTTAATGTAGTAAGTTAAAAGTTGAACATTCACTGTATTTTTATCACACCTTGTATGTCTTTGATGAATTTTATGCCTATGATTTATTTTATAATTAATTTTGGAATCCCAGTTCTCTTAACACTGCCATTGCTCATAGGTTGACTTAGAACATTTTCATCTGTTTATCATCTTTACTTCCGGCCTCTAAGAAATCCCTTGGACTCTCACTTCCAGATTCATCAAAAACTTGATATTACAGCAGGTTCAATTTACTGTTCTGCTTATTAATATTTTTTCTGAAATTATGTTTGTAATTTTAAGAGCACTAACTCTCATTCTTTTTATCTCTTTGCTATAGTTGGCTATCATTTTATTTGATAACTTTTTGATAATACTAATTAGAATTCTTTAAAGATCTACTCTATTCCTGAATTATAGTTATTCATATAATTTCTTCTTATTTTAGTTTTTGTTTTTTGGTCTCAGGTGACTGGAGAGTCTAATTTGTGTGTGTGTCTCTGTTTGTCTGTATGTGTGAATGTGGGTGTGTTTCATTCAGCCATTATGACAGGTGTACGGGAGGTTGATTATATTTTCTCCCTGCCTCTCCTGTAATTGAGAGATGAAAAGTGGGGATAATGACTGAGTTCTACTTAAGAGGTAAAGCGTGTGTGTTTGGGATAGAGTTTAACAGAGAAGCTTTCTGTAGAGAATGTGAGAGGACAGCAGGCAGGCTGGGGAATCTCTTAGTTGTCCAAGTAAGGCAGGTTTTATTCTTCCACCACAGCTATTATTGAAAAGTAGTGCCATGTACAACAGACACCCAAAACTTAGTAATAATTATGATTATTTAATTAAAAATATATTATTTCAGTTTATGCATATTATTTCTTCAAACAATTTCTGAATTGTTAGGATATTAGTACTTAGAAATTTATTTGAAGTGAGCTACTTAATAAATGAACTAATTAGGTATTTGGTTTATTCTAGTAGCTTCATGATAATGTCAAGGGTGCTGTGAATGTCTGGCAACCCATGAGTAAATTTATTTCCCCTTGTAGAGTGAGACACTATCCTTTCTGAAGCTCTCTTTTCCTCTCTAACATAGATAAGGTTAATTTTCTCTTGTTTGTTCAGTTCTCACTAATTTCTCTTTCCTGCTCACACTGGGTCAGTTTGTAGAATTGAAAGAAGATAGTCCAGCTACTGTGCAATTGATGAAGTTTGGAATTTCTTGAAATCTGTGGGTTTTCAGGAAGATGCTTTAACTGCTTACCTGGGCAAAGGACCCTTCAAAATCTGATCCATCCTTGCCTTGCAAACCTCCTCTCTTGTCAGTCCCTCTGTTTTCCTATGTAGAATGACTGCAGAATGCCACACTGCTTATGTACTTCTACATCTCTGCAAATTAAATGCTGCTATTTTGCTACTCAGAATGCCATCCTCTAAATCCCTTGTATTCTCCAATGTGATTCCATAATTTTTCACCATCTTTTCAACTTCTCGAAACCTCAGAACACAGGACTATGATCCCTCCAATTTAATTGAAGAACTCTTCATTCCATGCTTGTTCCCTATGCTATTACTACTAGAACAATCAGCACATTATACTGTAATGTTTGATTTCATCCTCTTTAAAGCCGCACTGGGTGTGAGAACCATGTTTCATGCATCCTTGCCCATGTTGGAGCAAATACAATTCTTGGTGAAGAACAGACGTTCGCTCTATAATCCTTGCAAAAGACAATAATCATGCGATTGGGAAATCATGCTTATACTCCTATCTCCATTGTTTCCTAAAAGTTCCAGCCCACAGCAATTTCTTCTTTCTTCAAATATACTCATTTTTACAGTCCTACACTTTCTTTCTTTATGATTTGAATATTGAAGTGTGCATCAATATTATATGTTCCTGTTCTTTAATGTCATGGAATAAGACTATCTATCTATTATCTATCTTCTATCCATTCTCCTTTTTAACAGCCCTAATAGATTGCATGGCAAATGTCTCAATGTTTGTTTTCGTGACAAAATACTCAAGGGCATTTTCTTCTGTCTCTTTAGTTCTTTCACAGTTTTTCTTTTTCTGTTTTTCTTTTTTTGCAGACTCTTCTCTGTGGTGCCATTTATTAAATATTACTAACCCTAAAAATTGAATTTTGTGCCTTTCTCTTTTTCCATGATGCTCTCTCTTTCTGTCCAAGGAAGCTCATCTATACCAGTGGTGTTCTTCATTTCTAACACTCACATGACTCCTATAGTCAAATCTAACTCAAACCTGTGTTTGACCTTTAGACCTACGTATTTAACTGCTTCTACAACATGGCTGAGGGGAAGTCTTGAAAAACCAGCCAAACCCAGGTTGCTATCATGAACTCACCATCTTGGTCTCACTTGAGTCACACTGCATGATTCTCAGCCTCGGAGTGGGTTACTCATCCATCTTAGTGTGGGAGAGAGAATCCCGAGAGATTTTTCACAGCCCCTCTCCTTGCTATTGTACTTCACAGAAATCCACATCTCTCCAGCTTTGTTGGCTCAAATGCTCATGAAATTACAGTTGTATCAAACTACGGTACCATCATTACCCATCAGAACAGTAGCTTTTTCTCTGCTCTATTGACCAAAACTTTGCTCCCATTCTATTTGATGTACTCTATCTGGAGTAATCTTTTCTAAATTCAAGGCCATCAGAGCATCATCTACTTAAAAATCCATCAATGGCTACTTTTTAATTCTAGAGAAACTTCTGTAAGCTGCCCTCAAAGGATCTTCATGCTCTAGTATTTCTCTCTAGAGCCCCTCACCCTTTCTCTCACTTTCTCTATTCCAGCTCTGTTGGCTTCTTTTAAGACCCTAGTTCCATCCGCATTCCTCAGGCCACAGGGCTTGTACGTGGGGCATTCTGATGTTCCCTTTGCTGGGAATACTGCTGTCCCCACTTTTGTCTAATTCTTGTTCAGGCCTTTGGGATTCATCCCCATGTGTGTCTTTACGAAAGCTTCCTCTGACCCCTTTGAATTTTTTGTTTGTGATTTCCCACTGTTTATATGATTAATAATTTTCTTTTGTGATGGACTTGCAAGTTGTTGAGACTCAAGTGTATGTTAACTATGTTTGTTCTTGTATTACCAGGGCCCAAGATTTTCTTGGCACCTATAATCATTCAGCAATAATTCCTTAGTTTTGCTCTTTCTTTGGAGGTTTGCCATTTTCATCACCAACTGCCATTTAGACTGACCAGAGTAAAGGATATCTGCTGTATGTGATATTGCCAGTTCCAACTGGAGGCAGAAATAGCAGCAAAAATGGGTAATTTTCAATTTTAAGTACTTAAAGAATTATAAAATGTAATCTATGTATATTTAATGGAATTAAAATCATTATATTACTGTTATTTTTCAAATAGTAATGAAATCTGAGTTCACTCAAAAACAATTGACAAAAAGTAATCTATGTTTTCTTTCTTTCTTTTTTTTAGATAAAAGCACACTGTTTTTAGAGAAAATTTCACGGTTTATTTCAGACAAATTGCCAACAGCTGAGTGAGTATTTTTGTAGTAATCAGGAGCTAGGAGTCAATAACATTTCTCTGTTTTTATGTATATCTCTTTGACCTTATACTGATCTTTCATCTTAGTGTGCATATATATATATAGTATAATATATACATTATAACAATCTGTATATATAATTATATATACTCAGCAAATTCAGTTATTTGTGACAATGCTGAAATGATAAGAATAATGCTACTGCTTTTTTGGACATTATTTTATTTAAATGATACATTTTAACTCTATTTTTGTTTTAGATATTCCAGTTTATTCAATGATTTTGTTGAGTCTGAATTTTTTCTGATTGATGGAGATTCCTTACTTAGCACATGTGTATGTGAGAAGTTATTACAGCCAGGACAGAATCTCCATTTCTTCTATCTGGTTGAACACTATCTCATGGATCTTATTAATAAAGGAGGACAATTTACCATAGTTTTCTTCCAGGTAACCTGACAGTTGAGTTTGTTTCTATGATTTTAGGACTAAAACAAAATTCTTTAATTTATTTTATAAGTGGATTGCCATTACTACCAAGGAAAATATATTTTGGAAAATTCAGAAATTTTGAAGGGAAAAAGAGAAAAATATTATCTGAACTGACAGTATTCAGCAATGACCACACCAGTTTATTATTGCTTTTTATTTTCAATAAAAGAACTTTATTGCAAGGATACACTGAATCATGTTGGTGCATGAAACATTTCAGTAGGGGCCAAATTGTCCTCTGGCTTCTAATTCCTCAAGTCTGAGAACTAATTCTGTCTTTAAAACTCAATAATAAATTTACTTGAGGAGAAAATAAAATATATTTGAGTCCAGGCAAACTCGATAACTCTGATTTGCATTTATTTGCTCAGCAGTAAATATCTGCAAGAGAATACCACATTTGCTTTTCTAATTATGAATATAATTAATAAACTTTCAACAGTTTCAAAACAGATATATATATAACCCCTGCTACTCTTTCCTAATCCTACTCTGAAAGGTAACTAATATTCAATGACTTTTCAAAGACTTTGGTATGGATCTATTTAATCATTTTGCATTCTACATTATTGTTATATTCTGAATACTGCTGACAGCTTGCCAGCAATGTTTTGAAAAAACAGCCAGCTTTCTGGCCTGATGTTTACGATCCAGCTGGCCCCACACATTGCTTCGCTCTGCTGAGATAAACCTGCAGAGCTGAAGGAAGGTGTTGCTGACCTGGAGCAGTCCTCTAGGACAAAGAGAGTCACCTCTGCTGCCCAGCAGTGATGATTTCTATCCACCCTTGCTTTTATACACTTTCTGTCCATTTTCTTTTTGAAATGAGATTGTAGAGGAAAAGAATTAGTGAATGAGAAGGGAAAGTATGGTAAACCCTGAGTGTTATGTGTTTGCAGACAGGGGATACGAGTTTTTAAATCCAAATCGTGATTTATAGAAAATATTTGAAAAATGTCAGTCAAAGTTTAAAGGTCTATTCCTTGCTATATGACACAGCAAAACTGTGTTGGGTTTTAGTCCTTAAATTTCTTAGTGATGTCTTAACCAAGAAAACTAAGAAATTGCTAAGTGAAACTTTTTAAATAACATAGTTTTCCATATCCTCCTCACAGGATGCTGAGTACACATATTTCAGCTCTCCTGAACTTCTTTCTTTGAGAACTGCTTTAATTCTTCATCTTCAGAAAAATACCAGCATTAATGTTTGTACTCAATTTACTGGATGCTTATCAAAGGATTCGAAAATGTTCTTGGATGAGAATTACCCATATTTCCTGATAGTTGCAGACGAAGGTCTGAACCCTCTGCAAACCCAACTTTTCAACTTTTTAATCATTCAGTGTTGGTCAGAGAGGGTCAATGTTGTGCTTTTCTCTGGGCAAACATCTGATATTCTTCGACTTTATGCATACTTTCTGCCAAGTCTGTACAGGAACCAGAATTTTTTCAAGGAGGTAATTTATATCTGAAAGACAATAAATATTCTTCTACAATTTTACAAAATGCTCTAAATTATTCAGTTTTGTTTTGACCTTTTATATGAGAATTATCGAAGTTTAACAGAAGGATAAATTGATAATAACAAAAATTGAAAATAATACAAAAAATGTAAATGTACTATTTATTCAATATTTATTGTTACACAATAGTGCTTGATACTTTTCCTGAATGAGTTTTGTTTTACTTTCACAATAATACCACAGGGCCAATATTAGTATCACCTAAATTTTACAGGTGAGAAAATAGATATTTGAATAAATAGTCTGCTGATCACCAATACCAAGTGGGTACTAGAACATGGATCTGAGAACACACAGTGCAGCTCCAGCCCCTACATTCTTAACCACTGTATGGTATACTGACTCCAACTTATGGAAGGCCAGACATGCATTAACGCAACTGTGCAATGAGCTCACCATGGTGTCCTTTAATAAAGGACAGTGGAGCAGGTCAGTGAGGAAGGCAGAGCCCTGAGATGTTTCTTTCTTAATAGCAACTCATTAACAGGAGAATTTTTCAAGTTTTAAAAATTTAATTCCATTTTCCTATTATTTTGCTGTATTGGTATATTTGCCAACTACTTTGTTGAAATTTTTGAAGTAGAAAAATGCATATTGCCTTCATAAACAACTCTACTTTCCATTTATTTTCAATACTTATAGTGAATTCTGAATAGTAAGATTATTCTAAATTTTATCAAAATCTTTTTTGAGTCAATTAACATTTGTCACTTCTTGAGAATTGTGCTATACTCTTAGTATATTTGGAGACATCTAGGTGATCGTTATGAAATAATAAAATGGTTCACTTTGTTTCAGTTAGTATTCATCTTGTGACATTTTTTCTCACTCTGCTTGCCTGCTGTAAGAAGGATCAGCTTTGGGATTCATTTTATATTGGGAAGAATTATTGTTATCACTCAGTTCATTTTACTAAATTAGAGCAACTTCTTGATCTCAGTTTTAAGAGCACCTTACAAACATCCTGCCCAATTTCTCCTAAAGAATCATTTTTCTTAAGTGTAGGATTTCATTGCTGGTATAATAATGTACTTCTGATTTAGTTGAACATTTACCTTAAAGAGGTTTAATTAATCAATTTGAGGACTATCTGAAATAGAATTAAAATGCAATGCTATACATTTCATTAATCTGTTTACTACTTGAAAACAACTAACAATGTTGGTAGTGGTTGTTGATGGTGCAATGGGTACCTGTGGGGATTTTATGGTGTTAATGTGTATGTTTGAAATTCATCATAATACAATACATTGCTCTTTGGGGGCGTGCTGCAATGTTGCAGAGTTAGAATGTGATGATGGTTACACAACTTAATGAATTTACTAAAAGCCATTGAATTGTACATTTAAAATAAGTAAATTATATATTGTTTTATTTATACCTTTATGAAACTGTTAAAATATAAGACTCACTATGTACCTAGTAGAGATAAAATAGAGTTATCTGGTTGGCTTTAAAAAGAATTCTGAATATCTACAATTACATTAGTTTAATTTTTAAAATGTAGGAATATATTGTAGCAATTACATCTTAAGTGTTTGATTTTGTATTCTTAGAAAACACTTTAATTTCAATTTAGGTGATTTTTTTCTTTTTTCTTTTTATAGAATGAAAATAAGATTCAAAATTCTTATAAAAGGCTCCTTAGAAAATTGAGAAAATACAGAGTTCTACCTTTAGCACCTCTTTTAAAAAATTTAGCACTGAAACATATGATGGAAGAGGTAATGACACATTAAAATGAACCTTTTTATTTGATATTTTTTAATTATAGAAAAGTTTCAAAAATAGTCTATGGTTCTTATTACTTCTTTCCCAGTTTCCTCTGATGTTAATTTCTTGTTTAACCATGATGCATTTATCAAAATCAGAACATTACCATTGGTGTGGTACTCTTAACTTCATCTCACATCTTATTTGAGTTTCAATTATTTTGCCATTAATGTCCTTTTTGGGAAAGGGTTCTAGTTTCTTCCAGTTTGAAATAGTTGTCTTTCCTTGTCATTCATGACCTTGGTATTTTTTAAGCATATTGATAATTATATAAAACAATACTTCAATTTGGGCTGGCCTGATGTTCTGTACTGATTGGAATGAGGTTTTGGAGTTTTATCAAGAATGTCATTGAATTAATGCTGCATGCTCTGTGATGGCAGCAAAGGGTTAATAATGGTTCTGTCTTCACTCTGGTCAGGCTGGACTTTGAGCACTTTCTTCCTTATAAACTTATTATCTTCCTTATGCAATAAATAAGTATCTTGGGAAGATGCTTTGTGACTGTCCAAATTTCATTTATTCTTAAATCTTTGCTGATTAATTTTAGTATCCATCAGTGGATCTTGTCTGCAATATTCATTATTGATGTTTTGCCTAATGATGATTTTCTATTTAATTCTTTACTTTCACATTTATTAAATGGAATTCTATCATGAAGAGGAGCTGTCTTAGTTTTGCCATTTATTTGCTTATTCATGCCGGTATGGACTGAGTATTTGATTCGTAAGCTAACATCCAGTATTGTAATAATTTTGTTGCTCACAGTGTTCCAGGTTTGAGACTCCTTTATGTTAGCACTTGTGTTCCCCTACCAGCCTCCTTTTTTTGAGCACTCTTATTTTTTGAAATCCCAAGACGTTTTGGTCTCATCTTGTGTTTTCCTGACCCAGCTCAGAAATTATCACTTTTCCAAGGGTTCTGGTTGTTGTTGTTGTTGTTGTTTTTTTCCAATGGCATTGAGAAGTCCAGATATGGGAAATGTGTTTGTTCGTAGCTACTGGGGTGTCATTATGACTTTTCAGTGATCAAGCTAGGAAATATCTGCATACCAACCCCTCTGTAATCACACATCTATATTTTTAATTATCTTTCTACCCACCTACATGTCATCTACTTACCAATCTGTACCAGATATTATGTGTTCATATTATTCCCTTTTACTCCAATTCAACTTCATGGGTCCTCTTTAACCTCTCAGTTGTCATTTCTTAGTCCGATTATGAGAAATCTTGCTTTACTTAAATACAATATATTTACCTATTTGTTCAACTACATTACAGATACCAGTTTTAGAATTTCTAAATTTATCCTGTGAGAATTATATTGACTGAGTCAATTATATCATTTTTTTATAGTTCTTTTCTATGTAGCTTTTAAATATTCAACATAGTCATACCTTCGTACTCAATTGCTTTGAAACTCATTGAATTTGGTATCTGATGGACATTTTGTCCTGGTACTCATTGTTTGGTACTCATTGCACAAGCTAGAATTTGTCAGAGTTGACTGCTTCACAACTCACCACCCTTTCTTGGCAAAATAATGCATTTCATACTTCTCAGTTTTGGTATTCTTTATCTTACTTCCCAGATCCAATTAACAACGAGTACTATAATGTTTTTGAAGGTATTCAGGTTAGTTTTTTTCTCACACATTTCCTTCTGTGTGACTATGTTACTGTTGTCATAGTTAGGCTCATTGGTGTTTGTATTTCATTTTGGATCCCTCCCACCCTTATCCTGATGGTTTTTAATTATCTGCTTATTTTGGAAGGTATGTTAGAGGTATATGAAACTTTGTTCTGGCCCATTTCACATTTAACATATCTTGGAAAAGTATGTATCTTTCCCCTGATTAGCAAAGTATAAAAGAAATGATACAACACATGTTTTTCAATTCTGTGAATTATAATTAAAAATACTTTAATTTGAAAGTCAAAATATGCTAATATTTAAAATAATTATCAGAAAGGTTGAACATTTTTCTATTTTAATAATTGCATTCTTAGAGCATTATAGTGTTATTTAAGTTTTGGGTATTTTCTTATTTATTTATACAAGCTCTTTACCTATTTATATTTTTAACGGTTTCATTGAATGATTATAATTTGATATAGTCATATATATTCACTTTTTCAGTATGATTTCTTCTAGTAAGATCATTTATGAATAAAAACACTTTTTTAAATACCAAGAAATTGTGTTACAATTTTCTTACGTAACAGGCATATGAGACTGTATGTCTGCTCCAACAAGTCTGGCTGAATGGATCTGACATTCGACGGGTCCTTTGTGTCACTTCATGCTCACTGGCTTTGGGAATGTACCATCACTTCTTAGAAAGCAGAGTGAAGACCTCCTCTGAAGAAACAACTAACAAAAAAAAGGTGTAACTTACTACTTTACTGGGAAATATTATTGCTCTCCATTTTCCACATTTTATTAACTGTTATCTAACATTTTCTCTATTTGATACTAACCCTAACCATTATTTATAATTTCAACAATAAGAAAAACACTATATTTTATTTTATTTTTTGCAGTACTAGAGATTGAGTTTAGGATGTTGTGTGTGCTAAAGAAGTTAGAATTTATATCGTCCCACTTTGCAAAATATATCCACTTCTTTACACCTTTTGTCACTGGGTCTGTTTTTCAGATACATTGCCATCCAGGTGTTCTCTTCCAGTACTGTCAAGTATCAGTTCTCAAATATGATGCCTTGGACATAACAGAACTTTAACGTGTGGATCCATTCTTGCAGAGTCCTCAGAGATTGTAACTTTAGGAGCTGCTTGATCAGCTCAAGTGAAGTTTGGCTTAAATAAAAATCCTGAGAAATATCTTAAGGGGTATTAAACTGAATGGTTCCTTTCTACTTTATCTCAAATATGTAGAAATGCTGAAAATCATTGTTGCAAAAATGTAGAACTAAGAAAATCTCAGAATCCCTGCAGGGCAAAACGTGGCTGTCAGCTGTTGTGGTTCTGAACGCTTATTATGCAGTTTCATAGCCTGCTACTCCTTGGCTCATCTCTCTATTTTGTTTAGGTGAACAGTGATTACTTAACCCTGCAGGATGTGGAAGATCTGTGCAAACTGCATTGTCTCAGTGTGGTTTTTCTACTACACATACCTCTGTCTCAGCGAGCTCGCTCTAGATTCATCACTTCCGATTGGGTTGAAGACACTCAGATGTTCTTTAAAATGGTGAGTATAATCTCTACTGGCTTAGTGTTTTGTCTCCACTGTGTGGTATGCAAAATCCACTAGCCTTCAAAACAGATTGATATGGGAACAGTGCTAGCCCTTTAGGGATTTTAGAAGTTAATGACCTAAATGAATCAGTTGACTAATTCTAACACCTAGGTTTGCTACTAATAACAAACGGCATCATATATATATATATATACAACTTAAGGAAAAAACATATTTTTCTTTCTTTAAATCTCTGTCAAGTTTTTATGTCATCAACTATAGGACAACTTTGGTGACATTGAAGAAATCAGTGTCACATGTCATTATTGCTGTCCATTATAAATGATAGTGAGTACAAATTTGGAGTCTTAGGAAAATAGAAAGCAAAGTCCAAATAAATACTTCCAGAGGCCCAGCACTCAAATCATCATTGGCAGCTGTTAATTGTTTGGTTTATTTTCTTCAGTCTAAATACCTAGATTTTCCTGTTGTTCCTCATGTTATAAATACACATGTGTTTTCTTCAAATAAACATGTGTTTTGTTTTATTCTGCACCTTTTTTACCATCATTAGTGGCTACTATCTTTTAGTGGAAGTATCATTTCTCTTTCATGGAATGTAAAAAAAGAAAACTTTGATTGTATTATAAATGTTCTTATTCTTTTTTTAACAGTGATAAAATATACCTTTATCCACTTTTTTGAGTCAGAGGGTAGTAAAATAAAGTTATTGCTAAAGTAGGTATCAGGCAAACAGAAAGGTGCTTCAGAAATCCAGTTACCTTTGAATTTATTTAAACTAAGAGGAAAAGGCCATAATGTTTTCATGAAACACATACTTGGTTCTTTAACAATTGTGACAAACAGCAGAAAGAATTAAGGACTGCTACACTTGTGATCCATATAAAACATCAACATTTTGGGTGTACATAATTAAAGAAATACCTCACTTTCAAAATACTGTAATAGCCAATACATAGAGGCATGCCTTAGGTGGGCATAGGAATGCAGTTTAGAAAAGAAAAAAAAAATCACGCACTGGAATTATACAATTTCTTTAAAATCACTGAGCAAGAAAAGCAATATTGAACTTTCATACTGATTTTACACAACTTCTATGCAGTACCTTGACTTAAATCCAAGAACAAAATTTAAGATTCTCCTTCTATATTTTTGGTAAACAACTGTATGGTAAACTTAGATGACTTTTCCCCTTAGATTTTACCTGGGAGTGGCCTGTTTTACATTTTATTTAAAAGAGGGCAGGTTTGGCACTTTTATACTGATGTCACCAATGTTACCATTCCTTGGGATCTCAGGAAGATTCATATTCTTTACAGCTGATACAGCACAGGGTGGAGCTCCGGCTAAGCCAGCCTCAGATTTCTGCAGTTTATTTTGTGCATCAATTTGTGTAACAATTTCATTCACGTTGGTCTCCAGTACCATCCCTCCCATCACCATTTCCGCAAGAATACCTATGAACCTTGTCTAAATGGAAAATTAAATCCAGTTCACAGACATTTTCAAAACATTTGTCTAATGTTTCCATGAACACTTGAATTAAATCTAAAATGCCAAGTTCACTTTCTGAAGAATCCACACAGAATTCAAAATGTAGTGTTGCATAATGTCTATAAATCAGTTTGTTGTCAGATCCTCCAATTAATAATCCTCCTTCTAGGAAATTACAAACATTTTCATCTCCCTTAGATAGCAAATAGAAAGTCTCCCTCATGATTTGTTGTTGTGTATCTTCACTGTAGGGCTGGTAGAACTTGGAGAGCCTGGGCTGGCCATGGTTGTTGAAAATGAGGATCGCCTTGATCATGGCTAGGCCAGGCTGACCTGGTGGATTCTGGGGCCTGGGCGGGGGCAGGCAGGAGAGACTCGCCTTGGGATCTAGAGGTCCTTCCCACCTGCCCCCTCCTGCAAGCACGCGGCCCCCCAGCTGCAGGGCAGGGCCTGCATGTTCTTATTCTTTTTAAATGCAAGCCTTTCTTTTTAATTTGAGGTTTTTGATTTTGGTTTGATATCCAGAAATGGTATTAAGTAAACTAATTGACATGGACTTTTAAAAAAGAAAAAAAGAATCTTGGCACACATAATCAAAATGTCCAAGGAAGGGGTTTTTAAAAAAATCAGTCAGGGAGCCAGTCCATGCTTACCTAGTGCGTGTATGTTGTGCTAATCTGGAGGACAGAGTGAGGAAGAGACACATTTACCCACCCCATCCTAACACTAGCATAGAGCTATATTTTGCAGAGAAGGCAGATATTAAATTTTAACAATTACTATGATGGAGAAATTAACATTATTATTAGACTCTAATAATAAAAAATTCAGTCCAGTATTCAATGTTTGTTTTTTCTCAATAATTGAAGTGACCAAAATCCCGAAGGCTAAGTAAGGGTTAGCAGCATGGAAAAAGAATACAAAGTAGATTTAGAGAAAAAAATAGCACATGTGATTATCCTGAGGAAGTCATAACCAAGGAAGAGTGATCTTCCTACTGTAAGAGGAATGAAAAGAATATGGGGGATTGATTAAGCCAGAAAAGGGACAAATCATGTAGGATCCTGTTGTCCTGTTAAGAGACAGATGTATAACATGATCATAAGCGTACTGAGAAAACACTGAATGGTTTCAAGCAGAAGAACGGCACTTTAACTTTTAAAAATCTCCCTGGCTTGCCAAGCAGTGTATTGTAGAGAAAACACAGTGGGATTTGCAGAAATGAAGTGATTATTGCCTCAGTCAGGTAAATGTTGATGGTGAGAGAGACTAAGGAAATGACCCCTGACATTCATTCTCCATTCAAGGACCTGGTTGTGTGGTTGTGCAGAATAGTGGGCAGTGACTTGTGACAGCCACACTGAGCGGTGGGCACCCTTTTCTCACTGCAATGAGGATGCCACTGCATAAATGCCCCTGTTGAAGTCTGGCATGGGAGGTGTGGAGATTGATGGAGTGAGGTGATCTGAGTTTGACTAAGGTGGAATTGAGTTGGACAGTTTTGCTTGGTAGTGCTTAGAAGATATTTATTAGCATAATGGGCATGTAGGGTTGGCAGTTGAAGGAAAGTATAGGAAAACCACAATTCGTGAATAGCTGACTGTATTTGTGAACACTTTTAACTATTGTAATGAAAAGTTCAAGTAGTTCTGAGATACAGTGAATTTTCAATGTGGCGAACACCGTACCATAGACGTTCTATTTATGGTTTAGTGAGAAAATCTATCCTCTATTCCAAATCCCACTGGAGAAATTTCCTAGAGGCATTTTGACAGGGTATCAATAGGCAGCAGACTATGGTTCATTAAAAGGGGATAGGAAGACTTCATGTCCAGCCATTTAATTCACTTAAGGTATTTTTATATGTCAATTCAGATTAACATAATAAGCCTATTGTTACATGTCATATATTAAAATAAAGGATTATAACATCAATATTATTATGCTATAATTTTTGTTGTGAATTTTATTTCTCAAAAAATACTTAATTTTCTTTTTCAACTTTTCTTAGGTTGAATTATATGTACTCAATCACCAAATAGCAATGATTGTGTTCATTTACAGATTTAAATGAGTTCTCGCTTCATACAGTTGTAACTTATGAAGTTTTCTTCCTAGTTTTTTTTTTAATGTACAAGTAAGAATTACATGAAAGAACATTATAAAAGTCTTTATAAATTTTGAATTGTTCTAAGATGGCCCTGTGGGACATTCCTTGTTATTTATGCTGGTTGGAAGCATTAGTCTTTAAGAAGGCTGGCATTCAAAACAATAAGCACAGCTAGTATTTATTTATTCTGTATTTGCTTCTGGGAATACTGCCCCTACTTCATTTAGACATATCAGCAGTCCTGTTATGCCCTCATTTTACAAATGAAAAGCTTGGCCTTGGGAAGCTGAAGTGGCCCACTGGCACAGCTAACGCATGACCCAGCTGTGTTGTGACTTCTGCTCTGTCCGGCTGGTTTTCCATGGACAGCACCCTTCCTGCCTTTCTCTTACTCCACGCTTGAGTTTTGGAAGCATCCTGTAGCTTGAAACGTAACGTCTGGTAGCCTCTGAATATTTCACTATAAAGGATGTGGTTAGTAACTGCACAACTCATAGAAAGGACAGATCCGGGAAAGTTATTTTGAATCCTGACACACAGAGACCACAGGAGAGACACTTCTTATACAAAGTGAATAAACTGAGACACAGTTGCTGTCCTGCTTTCCCATGTTACTCTTTACTCAGTGAAGTGATGGGAAAGGGCTCAGGGAAAACATCCTATGTAACAGTGATTCTCAGAGTGTGATTTCCTGAACAACAGCACCAGCAAAATGTGGAGACTTCTTAGAATTTTAAATTCTTGGGCCTCACCCCAGACCTCCTGAATCAGAAGCCTGGGAATCTGTGTTTCATTTAACAACCTTTCCAGGTGAAGCTTATGCTGAAGTTTAAGTACAACCATTCTATGACTCTGTGACACTCTCTTTAGTGACTCATTTGTAGAGATAAAACTGCAGCAGAGTTAGAAGGTTCCTGCTTGTTTGATTTTCACAACTTTGTGATGAACTTTGGGCAGCCTCTCTGACTCACCTGTTTGCAGCCAGCCTGTGAAATGCAGTAGGCAATAGATACAAATGGACAGTGAGCTCTTGGAATGTGAGTACTCTGGATTGAGGTGTGCCATACATTTAAAGAAAATAATTTAGTATGAAAAACATGTAAACTATCTAAAGTTAAAGACCTTCTAAATTTACAGACCCACTCTGTTAGTATATTTGTATTTATTACATATTGAAATAATAATATTACTAAAATTAACTATTAAAATTAATTTCAGTTTTAAAAATGTGCCATCTAACAAATTAAAAATAACAGCTAGCTCATTCACACTACTGAATTTGGACAATGGTAGGTTAAAGCTCCATATCAATAATGATAAATATATTGTTCACAATTTAAGAACAGCTGTGTTTTGTTTTGAAGGGCGTGTGGGGCAGAAAAGTCTCAGTCTCCTCTCTCAATTTAACTTCCTTCGCAGACAACATCACAGAATGAAGCCCTGGCTAGGCTCCTGCTCCTGTCTGTTCTACTCTGACAGGAGTGAAGGTCACGAGGACATTCTGCCTGGGTGCAGTGGGAACAAGGCTTCCCACTCATGAACGTGTGTGGGAAAACTTGTGTAGCTGAATAAGAATCTCTAAGTTTGAAGAATTCAGCAGCTTTTATATCTCTGGATGGTTGTTTTCCATATGCTCCCTGTTTTTAAAAAATTGTTCTTTAATTTTGAATTTTTATTAGTACATGTCTGCAGTTCATAATAATTGCATTCAGTTTTGGGAACTGGTACATGTACATCACACATTTGAATTATTTTTTCTCTTCCCAACACTCCCCTCTTATTTTGGCAGCATCAGATTCATTTTTTTTATCTTATAGGTCATTATGGAGTTAATTGTCATATATACAGATTAATAACCAGAGTTATAGGCAAAAAAACCCCACATAAATACATAAGACAAACTAAATTAAGGTACACTGCAAATTGGATCACATCAAAGTAACAATCTACACAGCAAAGGAAACCATCAATTGAGTGAAGAAACAATCTACAGAATAGGAAATTGTTTTTTGCCAGATACTCCACAGAAAAAGAAATAATATCTAGAACATATAAAGAACTAAAAAAAATTTTTGACCTCTCCAATTTAAAGACATAATAAAAAAATGGGCATCTGAAATGAATAGGCACTATCAAGATGAAGAAATACAGATGGCCAATAAATACATGAAACACATTCAACATCACAGCCATTCGAGAAATGCAAACTAAAATAACACTGAGAGAGTCCACCTCACTCCAGAAGTAATGGCTATCATAAAGAAATCAACCAACAGCAAATGCTGTCAAGGCTGTGGAAAGAAAGGAAACTTCTTCATCATTAGTGGGAGTGTAACTGAAAAAACCACTGTGGAAATCAGTATGGAAATTACTCAAAAAACTAAAACTAGAAACTCCATTTGACCCAAATATTTCTCCTCCCAAAAGAGTTGAAGACCTAATGTCACAGGGATGTATGTATACTCAGGTTTATAGCAACACAATTCATTATACCTAAATTTTGAAAACAGCCTATATCTCCATCAACAGATGAATGGATAAATAAAATGTATTTACACACCATGGAATACTACTGTGCTGTAAAGAAGGATAAACTTGACTCAATTGTAGGAAAATGGATGCACCTTGAGACTATGATGCCAAATGAAGTAACTTAGACATATAAACTTAAATATAACATGATTTCCCTTATATGTAAAACTCAATATGTAAATAAACTGTGAAATAAAAGGCATACAGTTGGCAAAAAGAGATAAAAAATATGCAATTTTTTGGGAAGTACAATTGGAGACATTGACTCTTAAAGAAAAGAGGCAAATCTGAAAGCAGAAGTGCTTCTGTAGCTTCAAAACTGCCTCTGTGGATCACAGTGTGAGGAGAAAAAATAATTTAGAGTCATTTACAGATTTCCCTGATTCAGGATAAAGCACTATACAGAATTCATGTTTTTCTTCAGTTTTGATTGCATTTCTTGTTTTAATATTCTAAGGAATAAAGTTTCATCATTATCCAGCCTAAATTATATTAATAAGAATTAGAACAGACCTGCTCATTTGCTCTTTGGTTTGAATATAGAAATACATAAAGTCATTCTGTATTTTATTGCTAGTATGAAAATGTTATTTTTTTTTTCCAGAAAAAGTGGTGTGAATATTTCATCCTGTGTAATACAAATGTTTTGGAATTTTGGAATCTGAATTTAATTCATCTTTCTGACTTAAGTGATGAGCCTTTGTTGAAGAATATCACTTTGTATTATGAAAATGAAAATGTGAAAGGTATGACCTTACTATATAATAATTATTATACTTTAAACCAGAGATAAGCAATCTAAAAGATCTGTAAGTTTAAAATAATTTTCATATACTTAGATATAGCAATTCTTTTTTTTAATATTTGTTCATTTATATATGTAATTTTTACTTAGTTGCAATCAGAATGAATATTGTATTTCAAAATATTATTTTCTTAATATTATTCCTAAAGAATTTTTGGAAAAACTGATATTTCCAGATAATTTTAACATCAATTTTTTGATTTGTGTGCATACATAATATTTCTCCATAAAATTTCTCTAATGAAAGTAACCATTTCACTCCTATTATTTAGGAAATTTTAATTTTTTTCAAAAGTAAAGCATGTAGGGCTGGGGATTTACCTCAGTGGCACCGCACCTGTCTTGCAACCCCAAGGTGCTAAGTTCAATTCCCAGTACCACACACACACAAAAAAAACCATATATATATGACATATATATGTAATTTGTTTTGCTTTTTTAAATTTTTTCTTAGAATATTTCCTCTGCCACTTTCCTGGTTTTTTTGCTTTTTTTTAATAATTGAAGAAAAACAAAACATTTTCAGAGAGATACAACTGTTATTAATGGTTCTCTGACATTTAGAACATTTCCTAATTGTCTAGCATTGGAATGAATTGGCTATATGTAAATTTATTATTCTTTACTAATTTTCCATCTCAAAAATCACAGTTTTTATTTAGTTTTATTGTTCATAACATTACATATGGCATAATATATTTATTATCTTAAAGAACAAATTATTCTCCATCTGTTATTATTATAGTTACAATTTTAATCCCTAGTTATCAAACAAAAATCAAGTTTATCTTTAAAGTCTACCATTTTCATTTAGGTCCGGTGTGGAAAACATTGAAAATTTCACTATGTAACATGTATTTCAGAGCTCTATGAATTGAATCAAAATGTGTGCTTTTATGTTTGTGTAAATATCTCTTAATACTAGGTAATTTTTTTTCTTTTGGTACCGGGGATTGAACTCCGGTCCTTGCACTTGAGAGGCAGGCAGCGGAACCACTGAGCTAAATCTCCCGCCCAATACTAGGTAATTTTAATTGTTTTATAGGTCTACATTTGAACTTGGGAAATGCCATTATGAAAGATTATGAACATCTCTGGGAGACTGTGTCAAAGTTGGTAAGAAAGTTCAATGTGGGAAAGGCATTTCCTGTGAGAACAACCGAACTTCAGTTTCTTGAAAAGAATCCATCAACAATCAAAGGTAATAGATTCCTAATCTAATTTGAAATAAAAGCATTATTCCTCTAAATGTTTTTAAGAGACAACTAATTCAATATTCAAATATAAATAATTTTCTTATGCTGTGTGTTTTGATAATTGTCATACCCTTGGAGTGGTGTGCTATGACTGTAATTTGAAGATTTATGTTTTGCTCATAATCAATATTGCCATTGTTTTTCCCTTAAACCAATATGTATATGTGGCACATATACATATATACATATATATTCACATATATTCATATTTTCACACACATTAATATATTCATATGTATACACTCGTAAGTATACAGTGGTATCTCAGTTCATGAACTTAATTCATGCCACAATTCTGATCACAAACCGAATCAGAGGAGAATGAATCAAATTTTCCCATAAGATCAAGATCGAATCTAACCACTGAATTTGATTGGGTGGTGTGAGTCTTTATTCCTGGCACTCAAGAGGCTGGGGATCGCTTGAACCCCCCCCCCCCCCAGAGAGCAAACTGTGCAACATAATGAGATGGTTTGCAAATAAAAATAAACTAAAAAACAGAATATTTTAGGGGGAGCAAGGAATGAAGAAGGAGCAGCCCTTTGTGACAGTCAGGGCCCAGGCCATTGCTGCCCTGGGAGCATTTGCTCTGTCAGTGCTTCAGAGTCCTGGGTCCCAGCTTCCCTGGGAGGGGACAAGAGAGAAGGCCAGGAGGGAGGGGCTGCTGTAACTGACATCTCCACACAAAGCCAGGATTCTTGGAGCAAACCTTGAAGGCTAGATCTCTCAGGACCTGCTTTTCAGCAGAGGAAGGTGACAAACAAATCTCACCGGGCCTGGAACAAAATGAAATACTCTGATAATTTGGGGTTTCAGTTTAAACTGTTGGTAAGGTCAAAGCAACTCTGAGCCAGAAAATTAACCTAAAGGGATACAAGGGATCTGCAAGTTCTTATGAGGAACTTTATAAATCCTTGTTTTACGGAATTTTCCATCAAATAAGAATACAAATACAAATTTATTTAAAAAATTGAGGAAATAAGTCAGAATTGTAAACCATAGTACTAGAACTCTTAAGCATAGTATTTTATATATTAT